TCTATCGATTCTCTGCCAAATGCAATTCCGTCCCCGTTGGTTGTTGCTCCACGTAAACATATTTCCCACAAAACCTGTATCAGTTAATCCGGCTTCAAAAAGAAATTCATTAAATTCCTGCATCCCAGAATAATTCATAATAATATAAAATATAATAATAATAATAGAAAAATTAAAAAATATATATAACTAGAGTTCATTATTTATTTTATAATTTTTTTTATTTTCCTATAACTAATTTTTAATAAAAAATTAAATGATTTTGATAAAAAAAAAAAGAAAATAAAATAAAATAAATTAATGAGCCCGAGGTAGAGTTCGCCAAAATTGGCTCGAGCTCTAGCTCGAGCCAAAAAAAATTTGCTCGATGAGCTCGAACTCGGCAACATGGACTCGAGCTCGAGCTCGAGCTGGCCAAAAGAGCCGAGCTCGGCTCGTTCGCACCCCTAGTTGGACCTACCACCATTTGTTATTCATCCTAGGGGTTTATTGCTAAAGGCCCCATAAATAAAATAAGTTTATATTTTTGTACAGTTTATTTAAAACAACATAAATTAAAATGTCGTATATTCAAAACATATCATCACTAAAAAAATTAGGTTGCTTAAAATAATAAATGTTAGAAAATATGTAATTGTAATAGTTTGATAGAACCTGAAATAGTGAAACATTATGATTTAATAACAAAATAAGTTTTTTAATATCTAATTATGATGCTCGAGTTACATCACCTTAAATATTTGAGGTATGATGAGCTGGAAGAGCAAAGTGAATCATTGGCTCACGAGCTTGATGACCTTGAGATACTTGCGGTCATAGAACACATAAACTACGCTGGGGGTTGATTCTGCGGAAACCCCTCCGACGTTCAAGTCAGGTGTGTGTATAGCAAAAGTCGTAGAGAGAGTACGAGCAGTTGTATGGTTCGAATATTGAACGTAACTTAACAAATGAGTTACAACATTTATTTATATCTCGTTGATTGGGATGTAGGTGGTTAATTGAGATTGTCGAGGCGAAACCTTATCTTAAGGTGATTGGGCATTCGTTGTAGTAGTCTTCGATATTGGGCTTGTTACCTCAGTAGACAAAGAAATTGTAGGCCCATTGAATTGGCCCAATAATGCGTATCATCTATCTTTTTTTTTTTTCTTTTAGAGTTAAATACATATTGCACCCTTTAACTTAAAGCATGGGGTGGTAACACGCCCGTTAAAGTTACAAAGATAACACTTACTCTCTTCATTAATGAATTCGGTAGAAAGCTTTGACTTTGATGATGTTGAATTTTTTATTTCCATAGTACTCTTCGAAACATTATTTAAAAAATGGATATTCAATAATAATTTTAACAATCTATTAAAATTGCAATTTTATTATTTCAATATTCTAATTTTATGAATACAAAAATCTGAAATTTAGGTTTGCTTTTTCTTTAGTTTATGTCGATTTTTCAATATTCCGAGTTTACAGTGTATCTAATTATTTAACTAATATATTACTCTAGTATGAGAACCACAAAATGCATTCAAAGATCATAATAAATCAAACTTGAACATGTAAACTTGTTTAAATATTTTTATTAATTTAAATGAAGTAACTGAAATAAATTTTAAAAATAATATTGATATATATTTTATTTGGGTCGTAGAGTAATTAAAATACGGAGGTGAACCGTACATCAATATATGCTTTACATAATTATTATTTAAAAAAAAATATTTTTTGAGAGATTTTTTAAGCTATATCATTATTTATCAATTATTATATAATGATTAGAATGAAATTTTGGAAAAGAAAAATGCCATATCATTTAAAGTCAGTTTTTTCTCCAAATTCATTAATGGAGAGGTAAATGTTATCACCCCTATACTTTAAGGGTGTAAACTGTATTTAGCCCATTTGTTTTAATTTGTATTATTATGGAATTGATAAAGATCAAAGATTTAAATTCTAATTGAATTTGTAGAATTGATTTTATTAGAAAAGTATTTAAAGAGATAAAGTAAAACTTATTTTTTCAATACATAATTTTTTTTGACCAAAAAGTTTTTATTCCATTGAATACTAATGGAAAGTACAAGGAAGCTCGTTAAAAACCTTGTGGGCATACACAAGAAAAAGAGTACCCCTACAAACGAAAGGAATAAAAACGGGGCCCAACATAGAGCTGAAAATGAAATTAAAGAGACTACTATGCCTATGCAGACTAAACTTTGAAAATTGCTGGTGTGCCCCAACGGTTGTGAAAGTGTAAATAAGGCCTCTATGAATCGAATCCGAAATTTGTTGAAAATGCCTAAAGTGGGGGCCGACATGTAGTAAGGTTAAATCTGAACAGGCTGGGCTAATACACCATATAAAACCCATCATGGGCGATAATTAGCTATGCCCAATCTGTCACTGACGTAAGCGGTCCTAACCTCAAGCGACAAACTGACTTCCGAGAAAAAATGTTGATTGGATTTGTGGGTATAGGCCCAGTTAGCCAGACGATCCGTCACTATGATTTTTTGCCTCATGTCATTATGCAACTGCAATAAAAGTTCAACCTCCTGAATACATTGGCGAAAGATGTATTCAAGCTACCAAGCAATATATAAGTTAAAAATAGGGATAATTACAGTTTTGGTCCCTCAAGTTTGCACGTTTTTCACTTTTGGTCCCCCATTTATCGCCGTCAACAAAATACACATTAATGTTGTCACATTTTAACACATTTGGTCCACCGTCTGTTTGACCGTTAAGTAGTAACGGTCAACGGCTGAATTTGGGGTTTTTCTTTAAGAAAATTGCAATAAGACCCCTGTATTCATTCAAAATATTCTAAAAATCTCTAATATTTTATCCAACCATAATTTAACCCCAATTTCATCAATTAACCAATTTTAACCAATGACCCTGATTTTTCAACATTGGGTAATCCGACGTTGACTTTCTTTTTAACTCGGTTGACTCTTCTTTCGATTGATCATTTTTTGCCGTTGTTGACCGATGTTGAATGTCGGGTTAACAGCGTTGACATTTTTTTTCTTGATTTTTATTTTATTTTAATTTAAACTAATGAGAAATGGAAAAATATAATTTTTAAAAAAATCAAAGCTGATAATCGGCGAGAAAAAAATATTATAAAAAAAGTCAAAAAAAGGAAAAAGTCAACGAATCTCAATAACGGAAAAATTTTAAGACAAAAAAAACAAGATAAAACTTAACGGCCGGTGTTAGCCCCAAAAACCGTTGTACTAGAGTGGTTATCTCATTCCAAATTACTCCGCACATGCCTAATTCATCTTCTTCATAATTTTTTGGGAATAAATTTGGGATGCACTGGCGGTTCCACGAAGAAAAAATTGAGGGGAACAAATTATGGATTTTAGATTTTTTTTTAAATTGTATTTAGGCCCTAGAATTTTAGATAAAAAAATTGTTAGAAGTTTCTAATTTTAATATTACGATACTAGATGTTAATGTAGTATTATTATTGTGTTATACAATAATTTTGTTGATCGGAAAAAAAAAAATCACAGGAAAAAGTTCATAAAAAATCAAGAAAAAAAAAGTCAACATTGTTAATCGAGAATACAATGTCGGTGAACGACGTCAAAATCCATATTAAATAAAAAAGTCTATGCCGAAAAATAGAAAACAAAATTAACGTCGGTCAATGGTTAGCGGTAATGGTGGTAAAAATCAGAGTCGTTTGTCAAAATTGATTAAATGATGAAATTGGGGTTAAATTAGGGTTGAATAAAATTTTAGGGGTTTTTAGAATATTTGAAAAGAATGCAGGGGTCTGAGTGCAATTTTTATCTATGAAAAATCCCAAATTCAGCCCAAATTCAACAGTTGACCGTTACTTCTTGACGGTCAAACAGACGGAGGGACTAAATGTGCTAAAATGTGACAACATTAGTGTGTATTTTGTTGACGGCGGTAAATGGGGGACCAAAAGTGAAAAACGTGCAAACTTGGGGGACCAAAACTGTAATTATCCCTTAAAAATATGATAAAATCAAATACTACCCAAGTATTCTAATTTTCTTATTAGTTCAACTAGTACCTTGACCCGTGCGTTGCGCGGTGGACTGTTTCCGAAATTAAATAAGAAAAAAATTAGTTTAAATAATTGACATGCAAAACGGAAATACGGAAGAGAATGTTATAATAAAAAATAAACTAATAACAAACAATATACGAACATAAATTGTTGTAAATACAAATATACTTGCAAGAACATAAATGAAACAACTTTGGGTGAAGAGATTGTCGTTCTTAATGCGTAGCAAAGTATAACATAACAACAACATCTTCAAAGCGTTGAATCCACCTTCACATGTTGTACAATAATTTAAAATGTGTTTATGATTCAAAAGTTAATTGTGCATAATAATTAATGTGAATAATATACAAAATTAGTTACCTAATATTTCGGAATACTTCTTTATAAACAACATTTGTTGTACTGTTGGAAGTATTTCCTTCTTTGTCAACTATAAGTATTTTCAAACCATTTCGAGCGGTAACCCTCGAAACAGCAACATACAGTTGTCCATGAGAGAAAACGGGCTTCGGAAGATATAGACCAACACATTTCAGTGACTGCCCTTGACTTTTATTTATTGTCATAGCAAATGAAAGAGCAATAGTGAATTGTCGACGTTGAAAATGAAACGGAATCCTCTTGTCTGATGGGGTTAACGACAATCTTGGTATGAAGACTTTGTCTCCAATATTTGAACCTGATATAATCTCTGCTTCCAGAACTCGAGTTCCTAATCGAGTAATTAACAATCTTGTACCATTACACAAACCGCTTGTCTGGCCAATATTCCTCAACAACATAACAGGAACACCAATTTTCAACTTTAACTCATGGTTTGGAAGACCAGAAGATGTAATGGTATTCATAAACTGGTGTATATATGTCATTATGTACAGAGGAACTATCATTGGCAGTACATAGACTATCAAAACTAAGATACGTCCTTTCATCACCCGGA